TGCTGGAGTGGCCACAGCTGCCTACCAGGATTTGAATTCTTATTTCTCCTTGCTGTGACAGCGCCCTGTTCCCTCCAGCCCCTGATTCCCTGATCTGACAGGACACAGAGCTGCTCCTCAGGCTCTGCTGCAGGCTGAGCCCGTGGCACGCACTGCAGAGCCAGCCAAAAGTGCCTCTAATGAGCTATCAACAGGCTTTAATATTTCATGGTGCTCTGATCAGAGTTAGGGCTTATCAGAAATGTTGTTAAAACGCAGCCTCTGGGAATGGCCAGGAGGGTTTCACCCGGCGCCCGAGGTTTACTCACCGTCCTATTTGCCTTAAAAACATCACAGCAGTTATAGGCAGGAGTCTGGTGAGAATGTGGCCCCTGGCACGGCAGGGAGCTGCTGCCGGAGCCAGTGCACAGCATCCCAAATCCTGCTGGCCACGGGCAAGGAGAAGTCCCCAAAGCAAAGGGTCCCTGCAGCCACCCTGGTGCTGCCCAGGCAGGTCAGTCCTAAAGCAGCTGGGGCTGGGGCTGTGCCCACTGCTGCCACCCTCCTGCTCACCTTTCCCAGCTCCAGCACCCTTCTGCAGGGAGAAATGCCCAAAAGGTGAGGATATACCCACAGAATAACCCCCTGAATATGGAGAAAGAACAGCAGGTTCTCGTTGTTTGCCAGAAGTCCAACCCCTCCTTCCTCAAACTCCGCCTGGTGCTGTGTCGCCACTGAGAACATTTTGTCCCCCATCGTTGCTCCTGAGCTCCCCAAAATGTGTCATAGCTGTGACAGCCATGAATTATCCCAAAGTGGGGCTGGCAGCAGGACGGGGTTTGCAGATCTGAGCAGTGAAATCATCCCCAGTGGAGCAAACAGGAGAGAGGAAACGAGTCCGTCCCTCGTGACGGTCACGGCGGTGGGTCAGTGGCTGCCCATCAGATTTGGCACGTGCTCACCCAAAAGGAAACCAGGCAGAAAGGTGCTGCTCAGTTTTTGCCACGTTCCACGTTAGTTTTTCCACGACTAGACAAGACCTTCCTCCCCTCTCCCGTTTGCCTGAGTTTTGCAGCTGAGCCGGGGGGGGGGGATCAGCAAACGACCCAGATGAGGGGCTGTGGTCAGGGGGGACAGATAAAGGGGGGGGTTGGGACACCAGGAGTGTGGCAATGGTCACTCCCTGCTGGGTGACACAGGGACCTGTGAAACTTTAGTCATGGGAATGAAAACCAACAGAAAGGAAGGATGAGGAGCTCCCTCTGTGCCTGCACTGGCACTGCCTGTCCTGACACTGCAGGTGTCCTTTTTAAGGGGCAAAAGCAGTGGTGGGCTCTGCACCCCTCCTGTGGGTTGCTCAGGGCTCAGGCATCACTTACCTCAGGTCCTTGGCTACCACTCATCCCTACAGCCTCAAACTCATCTCCACACTCTTAGGTTCATTCCATATCCTTAGGTGTTGCCCATCCCCACATCCTTGGCTACCACACATCTTTGTGTCCTTGAGTGCTGCTCATTCCTGCATCCCCAGGTTCACCCTCACATCCTTGAGTCCTGCTCATCCCTGTGTCCTTGGGTGCTGCTCTTCCCTTCATCCTCGGGTACCACTCGTCCAGTGCCCTCAGGTATTGCTCATCCCTGAATCTTTGTGTCCACACATCCTTGTATCCTCCGGTACTGCTCATCCCTGCATCCTTGGGTACCACTCCCCTCTGTGTCCTTAGGTCCTGCTTTTCCCTGCATCCTCAGGTACCTCTCATCCTTGTGTCCAGGGTACTGCTTATCCCTGCATCCTCGGGTTCATCCCACATCCTTTGGCTCATCCCCATGTCCTCACTTTATCCCTGTGAGTGATTCCAGACTATCCCCGCTCGGTGGTCCCGCCCCAGCTGGTTCTCAGCGCTAATTTTGGGGCACGCTGAGGGCCGAGGTGGGTGGGTGGCAGGGTCTCCCCGCCGGGCGATGCCGCTCCTGGCCGGGTTCCCCGGCCCCATTAGCCCGTGGAGCGCCGCCAGACATCCCCATCAATATTTCACGCGGGATGAGGCCCCTCCGGGCGCGGATAAAAGGCGGCTCCGTGGCGGGCGGAGCGCGGGGATGGCGGGCGGGCGGGGGCCGGGGCCGTGCGGCCGCGGGGGCTGCGGCGGGGCGGGGGCCGGGCCGGGGGTCGCCGCGGGACCCCCGTGGGTGCCTCGGGCGCGGTGGGTGGCCCGGAGGGTCGCGGCGCTGCTCGTGCTGCTGGCGCTGGTGGCCGCGGGCTGCGCCCTCCGCCGCCGAGCCTGCCCCGCGCCCCGACGGAGACCCCCGGCCCGGCAGCGACCCCCGGCCCCGCCCGGCCCCGCCGGCCCGCTCGGGGGTCCCGCTGTCCCCCCGGGAGCGGGGCTGGAGCTGCCGCCGCTGCCCCGCTACGAGCAGGTGAAGCATCTGCCCAGCTACGAGGAGGCGCAGGGGGGGGTTCGCGGCTGAGACCCCCGCCCCGCGCACCCCTTGGGGCCAGGGGGAGCCGGGCGGAGCCCCCAAACCCCTGCACACCCCTGGGCCGGGGGGAGCCGGACTGAGCCCCTCAAACCCCTGCGCATCCCTTGGGGAACCCAGTGGAGCCCCCCAAACCCCTGCGCATCCCTTGGGGAACCCAGTGGAGCCCCCCAAACCCCCGCGCATCCCCTGGGGCCGGGGGGAGCCGGGCTGAGCCCCCCACACCGCTGCGGACCCCGGACCTCGCACGGAGGGACACAGGGGATGGCTGGGACTCCCGGGAGACGCTGGATATCCCCAAGGGCCAGGCGTTGGTCCCCGCGGTCTCCAGGAGCGATGCCAGGACACAGCAGCGTTCCCTGCAGGGACATTGGGAATCCCGGGGAAGGCTCCCACCGGGATCCGCGGCAGGAGGGCCTGCTGGACACCTGGCTGTGCGGAAGGGATGTGCGGGATTCCTCGGGGATGGCCCACGGAGGGATGCGCTGCTGTGCTGGCTCGCAGTGGGACAGGATCCAGGACACCAGGACTTCCCAGAGGGACACATCCCAGTGCTCGAGGGACTTCCAGGAGGAGACTTGGGGACATCACCTCTGGCCCAAGGCCATCGCCTCCAGGATGGTGACGTGCTCCTCAGGGAATGATGGAAAGAGCCGACTGCAGTCGGGTGCAGCATCCCCAGCTCCCCTCGCCTGGGCACGGGATCACGCTCCCTGGAATTCTGGGCTTGCTCAGCTGTGGAAGCAGCAGGAGGCTGTGCCCATGGACATGGCTGGGTGACTCTCCCCCCTCCCACGCCCAGGGGTGATGGGGGCACAGCAGGAGCAGGATCTCCCCCCTGGAATCACGCGGCGGGTGAGCTGTAGGGAGCCTCCCGGGGGCACAGGGCAAAGGGAGGAGAAACACCCCCAGAGCTTGCTAATAAAATCCTGGCACCTTCTGCTCCCGTGCTTTGATTTCCCCCCCGGTGATCCGGGATCCCCCCTGCCCCAAGGGAAGGGCACATCCCAACCCGGCACAGGCCACCGGTGCCGACACTGCCCACAGCTGGAAAACTTGCCAGGAACAAGGCAAATAAAACCAAGGATGGGCAGAAACCACCTCCATCCTCGCTGACATCACATCTGAATGAGCTGGGAGCATCTAAATTACTCCTAAATCACCCACAGACCACAGCTTCCTACAGGATTAGGAGCTCACCTGAGCTCTCCCAAGAATGGAACCGGTTTGTGCCCAAAAGCTCCATGAAATCCCTTTTTTCCCAGCTTGAATTGAGCACTTGGAGGATCCTGTCAGGAGCTGCAGCCACGAGCCCTTTCCTTTTTCTCTTTTCAAGGCACATCTCACTGCAGAGAAGCCCTGAATGTTTATTTAGAACAGAATTAGAGCATTTCCAAACTCCCACATTTACATAAGGCGAAATATTCCCGCAGAGCCACAAAAGACACAGGAATAATTAAACATTCCAAGTTTTGTGCACCCATTTAATTTCTTCCCTGAAGACACACCAGCCCATCCCTGTTTCCCATGAAGCACTCAGTTCTCATCAGAACCATCTACAGCAGGGCAAAGGCACCTGAATTAAAGTTAACAGGTTGTGTTTCAGTATTGGAAATTTTATAGCACTGAACTGGATCAATAAAAATGTACTTTGGAAATAAGAGTCTCCCATGTGATCAATTAATAAGACCCTTTTTTCTCCCAAACTCTTCCCCCTGCAGAGTAAAATGTCATCTCTGGCATCACAAAAATTAAGAAGTGGAAGCCTCAGAATTTGTAGGTTTAATAATAAAAACATATAAATCCAATAAAAATATTAAAACCATATATATATATCATTGAAAATATAAACCCCAATAGTGTTTCCCACAATTCCCCCTAGGTTATATAATATTTGTATATCTATTAAAATAAATACCTATATATTTAAACTTCAGAATTGAATTTTAGAAAGCTTCAAGCTTTTCTATAATTGTTTTTTTTTATAATTTTGACTATTCTGAAGTGAAGAAGGCAACAATCACCGGGGTTTTTCTGCAGGAAATGGCTCTACATTAAGTGTGAAATCAAATTTTCAGATTCAAAGCTGTTCCAGCCCCAAAGGATAAAATCCCACAGATAAACAGAGATCTCAAAAGTCTTATTGTCTTAAATACCAAAAAACAGAAGATATTTTTCATTTTTCCCCTCAACTATTAAAAATATGCAATGGGCTTTTAAACACTCACCTGAGCTTTCACTTTTACCTCATTTTAAGAGATATTTTTCCACCTGCTTTCTGATAACCAGACGTAAAATGAAGTGTAAGAACTCAACTCCCACCCTGCAATGGCAAAATTGGGGTTATATTTGATAATTAATCCATCTCACCAGCACCCAAACAACAGAATTTCAATAATTTAATCCCTGCTTCTTAAATTGGTTTATGAGGGTTTAAATCAAGCTTAAATATTTAAATATTTAAGGGATTATTTGTTTTTAAGAGATATTAAATCACTGAAGAATCACTGTTTTTGCACTGGGCAATAATGTAACCAAACCATACCTGAAACATCTGTATCCTTCTGCTCCTTCTTTTTTATTTATTTATTATTTGGTTTTATTAAGAAATTTATGAACTATGCACAAAAGGATCACATAATGATTTACAAACCAGAAGACATTTCCCATATGTACAGATATTTTGAGGGTAACATTTTGAAAAATACATATTAAACAATGTCAGTGATGAATAACCTGCTCCTGTATTTATCACACAAAGAACTTCTGCAAAAACATCTCAAATATACAGCCAATTTCATATGTAAAACAAAGAAAACGTGTATCTTGATGAAATAACACAAATGTAAAAACAATATTTGCAAATCAAGTGCTTTGGGCAGAAAAAAAATACATGAAATGCTCTTCCTTATTTTAAATATTGTTGTCAGTTATTCAGGTCAGATGCTACAAAACCAACCCCCAGTGCTGGTTTTACCTCAAACCACCCTAAAAGCACATTCCAAAGCATCTTAAACAATTTACAGTCTCTCAGAAAATACCCTTTATTGGTAAATAGTTTGCTCAGTGACAATCCTGAGTTGCTGAAATCACCTGAAATTCTCTGCTAAAGAACCTGCTGGTCCATATGCACTGACAGAAACAGGTATTACCATAACTGGGAGTGAAGTGGTTTGTATTTTACAGGCTCAAACTCCTTTTTTACATTTTCAGTACTTACAGTTTGCTAAATTTGCTTTTAGGACAATTTAAACAAGACTTTGGAGAGGTCCCTGAGGCTGCAGAAATAACCCAACTGGGTGCTTAAAGAGAGAAATTGGTACTTAATTAGTGGCAACCAAGGTTAAGTCATTTGAATGGCAAAGACAATTTAAAAGCCACGAGCAGAGGGACAGCTAATTTCCCTTTTTTCTCAGACATTATGGACTAAAACGGAGCCAGAAAAATGAACCCAGCTCAAAATGAGAGCGAAGAAATAATTCTGTGTGCCACCCAGCCATTGAGATCTCCACAAATTCTCACTCCTGTTGCCCACTAAATGTTCCTGTGGCTTTTTTTTTTTTTTTTTTTTTTATGTTTATCAAAATATGCCAGCACAAAACATTGCAGAAGCACTTGTTAAGGTGCCCAAAATGTCAGTTATTGCTGCACAGTCACACTGGTCCTCCCTGCAGGGCTGGCTGCTGCTCGTTCTCTCTCTTTAACAATTTCCATCTGGATTTTGGCTCTGATTTTATTCCAATCCACTTCCAGCTGTAAGAACAGAAAAGCAAATACCCAGAGGTCAATTAGAGAGAAGTCAGATAATTATTCACTAGCAGGACAATTGGAAGATACAATTACAGAGGATTTAAATTCTATTCATGGAAGATATGAAGGCACAGTTGAGTTCTAACAGAGCTTCCACCTCTAAAATCAACCAAGCTCGATCTATTTTACCAGGACACATCTCATTGTGTCTGGCAATAAGACATTAAAACACAAAAATAACTTGCTTCTAGTTTCAATGTCATGACATCAGTGTCCTGTTACTGAGAATTCATCAATAATAAACGAGGGATGTCTCCTCTGGGTAAGCTGAGAGCATATTACACCAGTTATCTGCTGCAACAGAAATCAGATTTCTGCTTCAAAGTTTGCCTCCTGCATCAATAAACGTTTTGGAATTGTCATTTTCTGCCTGTATTCTGTGTCAGTGAAACTTCAGCCCATGGATACAGCACAATATCCACAGGACAAATGTGAGGTACAACAGTTGTCTGGCTTTCCAAAAATGCTTGATGTGAAAAAAAAAATGGATCGTGGAGCATTTGATGACCATAAAAACATGTCCAAAAACTGGGGAAAAAATGGAATTTGGAATTTGTGCAGTTCAGTTTCACTGCTGGAGAATCAACCCTGTCAAAGATGGGATGGGAAAAGGATTTCAAGTGCTGCACAGGGAGTTTTTAGAGTAGCTGCTCCTCCGTTAACCAAGTCAGGGAATAACAAGGAAGGTTCTCCATGAGGGAAGATGTTACTGCAATGCCCACGTTCTCAGGTGAAAAGGCTCATAGTACCTTAATTCAGGATGCATTTACTGGGTCCAGGATTCTCAGGATATATAAAAAGTATTAAAAAACTGATGGGTAAAATATAGATACAGCCACTAAGCACATTATTTAGGTCAGTCTAGAAAAGAGGAAAAAACTCCTTATTTAAGCCTGAAGGAGTTTTAGGTGGTGAGAGGGAAGCTGAGACCCTTTTTCATCCCTGAGAAGGAATAGCAGCACAAAATCTGGCTTTTCTCTTGCATGCCCTTGTGATTTCCTTCTGATTTTGCTTTATGAGGTTGCAATGAAAATTTAGTTACAGCTTAAAATCCACTCCATTAAACAGGTTCCCTCCTACCCTCAGATCCAGCAGACGAGACCTTTGGCACGTGGATGTGGAAAAGGATTCCTTTACTCCAGAAATCTGCAGTCTGAGACCCAAAGTTTCAAGACTGTGAGGTGAAAAATCCCCTTGCTTAGAAATCCTTCCAGAATGTGCAGCTTTGGTGATGATTTAAAGCCAATCAGTGCCCATTTCTCTGCAATGTGCCTCTGGGGAGCCCAGGGGATTAATGTGATTTTTGCTCTATCGTGGATTTAAAGGACAGAACACACACTCCCAGCACAGCAGCTGGAAGTGCTGCGGGATGAGAGTGCTTGGGATGTGTGCAGTTATCCTGCTGTATTTTCGAGGTGAATTATTGCAGAATGGTTCACTGGGGGCCAGACACCGGGCAGTCCATTGTTGAGGGAAGGAAACATCCTCAGGAGTGTTAAAAACTAATGACTTCCATTAGAAACTCAGCTTTATTGTCCAATTAAAGGATCTGAGCTAACAGCTGGCATGTGTTTCCTGATCCAGCAGCTCCACTGGATGGAAGGATTTGATAAAAAGGTCCCTTTCCCTAATTTCACCCTCAGAAAGCTGAGGAACAATGAAGGGAAAAGCAGGAAGGACATGAGGGCTGTTCAATGAAAGGTGCACATGTGGGTGTCTCTCAGAAGGGAAATGTGTGGGAAGGCTCCAGTGGAATCCAAGATACTTCCAACCTGATGAACTTTAAGATCTGCCCTTAAAGACAGCTCCCCCATCTGTCTTTAAGATCTGTTAAATGCTAATACATTGAAAAATAGTGACCTCCTGATGATGGAGAGGGTTCCCAGGGTTTGCTGACAATGGATATTTAACTGTTTATCATATTTGGCAGAATGGTTTGTAGTTCACTTAATAAATATCTGGATACCTTCAAAGTTTGTTACTGTTAGTTTCCATAAAATGACATTAAAATATTGAAGACATTTAAGAGAGACACCTTTAACCACAGTAAGGTCCAGCTCCTTGTTTATAGAAAACTACTGTTCTTTTATTTCTATAACTCTTGCCAGATATTATATATACTTTTATATATATATACACACACACACACACATAAATATATATATATATTTTTTTTTCCTGTATCTGTACCTTCAAATAAAACACATGCCCAGCTCTTCCTGGCCAAGCAGCCACACACCAAACCATGAACTTAGATGTAAAATCTTCATATTTATGTTCACATTTGAACCACAAAAGGAAAATATAAGAGCAAACCCATCCCACAAAAAATCAGGCTGCAGGAATAATGCTGAGGAACACTTACCCCTTCCGCATATTGCAAAAATCTCCTGTTGGTTTCTTTTTTACCAAAATCCTCCAAGAACTTCTGCCTATAAGCCAGGACTGTGTCAACATGTGTCTTGTGCTTCACTGCAAGTTCCAGGGCCCTGGGATGAAGCAGAAATGGGGTTGCCAGGCTGGAGAAATGCTCTGGCACAACTACAGGGTTGGAAAAGGACACCCTGGGGGCTGCAGGCACAGATCCCTGATCCCAGTGCCAAGCAATTCCACATTAGTGTCAGTCACAGGAGGTTAAAATTGGCTACTTTATGCAAAATATCCAACAATTATTTCTGTTGACAACCTCACCATGGCACTCGCTGGACAACAGGAGGCTTTTTATTTCAAGGAAATACAGAATATTTTAGCCCTCTCAGTATAAAAGATGGCAAAAATAATGATGTTTAGTAACTTTTCTACAGTCAGGAATAGCTTCTGAACATAAATTATGGTATGTACCCTATAGTATTTACAACTATTGTAGAGGTGGGAAAGATTAGTCATTGGATTAATATAATTCATTGCTCACATCTGTTTTCTTCTCAGAAAGGAACACTTCTGTTTGACATACAGAGTTTTTAGATGATATATAAATAACAGAATATCCTTTTCCTGATATCCAGCCTACACACCTCCCCTGACACAGCTTCAAATCAGGCAACAAAATAAAAACCCACAGATATGTGGGGGAAAAAACAACCTTTTGCCCCCAGTGATGTGAATATAGCAGAGATACCAGGAGTAAATGGCCTCAGAAGATTCTGTCAGAAAACGTGGGTTTTTGTTTAAAGGAGAAATTCCTGCTTTGTTTTCTCAGGCCTAATTCATATTTTATCCACCTACACAGTGCTGGGAGCCTGAATAGCCACAGGTCTATTTTTAGCAACAAGACATTTCGAAACAGCCCTAATTCCTGGAGGGTCAGGTCCAGTTTGGGGCATCACTAAGGACTTTTCTGTGTTAGCAGTGATGAAACAGCAAAATGTTATTTAAAAATCCTTCCAAGCATGTTCTGGACTTTCATCACAGAATATCTAAATATGGCACAAGAAGGTTAAACATGTTCCTTTTTTTGGTTGTTGTCAGGATATGATTTACTTCATCTTTTCACAGATCTGGGCGAGTCAAGGCAGAAAATTAGTCAGCAAGAAAACAACTGGTGTAAATAATCGGGGCAACTGCTTATAAACATGTTTGGTTTGCAGAAATCCCACCTGTCCCAGTTGTAGAGGTTAATGTTGACTTGGATAGCTTGATAAATCAGGCCTGACTGAAGCAGCAGAGTTTCAGCTTCCTGGGTGTTCCCACTGAACAGCAGCATATGAGCCATCCTTGACTCCCTGGATGGCAGCTCCTTGATGGAATTGATGTACTGGACTTTGTCAATCTGCCCAGGAGAAGCACAGCAGTTTAATGAGGGGAAATTAATTAATAAAACGAGCTTTGCAGCAGTTGAACTGGGAGTTTAAGCCCATTTTCTTACCTCCCCAATCGCTGCATAGGCGATTTCAGCCGTGGTCATGTCTTTGTTGGCCACTGCCATGGCAGCCAAACACGCCCACAGGGTCTGGTCCTGAAATTAAAACCAAAAACCAGCTTTTCTGACTTCAAATATTTATTGTCATGCTAAAAATCCCTTCCCAAAGGAAGCACCCAAGTCCTGAAACTATACCTTTCTCATTATGCTATACATGGCACCATGGGCTGAGCTTCCCATTACAAAATCACTGCTTCATTACTTCTCTGAACTAGGAATTAGAAAAATTTATGGGTAATAATAATATTGCACTTTTTTTTTTTTAATTTTCATTACTTCTGTTGCTTGGTTGTTTCTGACTGTTTGGGTTTTTTTTTTTAACACAATCTTAAGGAAACCCCAAGAACTCAGAATAACATTTAGGAAGATCCTAAATGACATTTTGATACCAAGTGACAACATTATGACAAAGACATACTGCTCAAACATATTTCTAATCTAAAAATATGTTTTCTATATGTTTTCTAATATAGCCCACAGTTAGGCTACCACAGCTGAAAGCTCTAGTTCCAGACAGGAAAAACATCATTTTTGACCTGTTAGTCCACGTGGAATTAAGTGGGTTTTAGTATTTTTGTTGAATATGTTCAATAACAAATTTGGAAAGAAATTTGCACCGTGAAGAGGTTTAAATCAGAATAAACAGCTGCACTGAGTATGATCTAAATGTGTTTCTCTGTCTCCCAACTGACCTTTTCTGTAACTCAAGATAAACCTTCCTGCAGGCAGCCCATAATTTGGGAGAATTCAGATTATTCAGAGAATCAAGCGCTCATAAAAATCTTTGTCATGTTTTCTTCCCACTTCCCTATTATTTATAAAATTAGGTGATAACATGGAAAGTTCAGACTGAAATTATGCAGAGGAAGTCTGTAGGAGTTGTTCCCTGATGGGTCTTGCTGCTCTTTTTCCCTCCCTCAGAAATATCCTTCCATTTTCTTATTCCTGATTGGAAATATTTTGAACTGTCTACCTGGGTTGCCAAAAATCAAAATAACCTGATTTGGATGCTTAAATCAGATGATGAGAAGACTCTTCATGCTGAAAATAAAGACTTTATTCCAGTTCTACAACCCAACTTATGTGGATGTGTATTGATTTTCTAAAGCAATTACAGGAATATCTGAAATGCACATTTAAGGTCACGATGAAAACTCTTTTCTAGGAGTAAAGGGGATAAAGGAACTAGAGTTTGGAGGGATTTGGTTTTGTTTTAAAGACTACCAGACTCACCTCATCTGTTGCTGTTGCCTAAATATATATAAAAGCAAGCAAGGGAAAAGAAAAAAACAAAAACGAGTGAAAGAAAATATGAAAAATAAGAGATAATTGTGGAGATGAAGGTCACTCTTAATTGGTTTTATTAAAGCCCAGTCCTGAAAAGTTAAGCTCAGAACTAAGTTCTGTGAGTACCTGTGTTCAACCCAGCTGGGGTGACTAAAAATCAGAATTATTGTTTATAATGAAAATGGTGACATTACGTAGATTAGGTAACGAAATTATGATTCTGAGAGTAGATTATGAAAACCATGGAATTTTCCATTCCAGAAGAATTGGAATAAGATGCAGATGTTAAAGGGATACCAAAGAACTGTCAAAGAAATACTTAAACCCATAAATATTGCATGGAATGGCACCTGGATATTCCCAAAAATCAGCATTTACCTTGACAAAGCGACACAGCCTGACGGCATCTTCCCACTGGGAAGCCCTGACGTAGTCATGGAGAATCCCGGGATAAGGGGAAATGTTCAGGTGGACAAGGGAACCATCTGCTCTCCTAATTGTTATTTGATTCCCTACAAAACTCACAATCTGGGGGTTTTTGCTGAATTCACTGTGGAGAGAAAGGAAAAGGGAAGTTAATCTTCACTTCTTTCTACAGAAGTAGAAATTATCACTGACTTCGCATCTTTCTATTTTTAATTTCCAACAGGTAATTTAAACAAATCTTCTTTTTTGTTTGTTTTTTTTTCCAAGCAACTAAGGGAAGATTTCACGAGACAGAATTAAAATCTTGCTTTTGCATCAAGATGCTGCTCTACTTTCAAACTGCACATCATCATTTCAGCTCCAAACTTTAGGATTTAATTAGAAAACCCACTTTTTTCCCTCATTTCCTAATCCAGAAACGGCAACGTGAACAGAGTTTGAAGAGTTGCAACCCTTGGTTCTACTTCACCTGAACAGAGTTTGGTAAGGGGTGAGTAAATTAGTTAAAATATACCCTTTTTCATCAAAATATGATGTATTACCTTCCATCTTTTTCATAGAGGGTTTTTGGGAGAAGATCTTTGTCCACATAGACTGTGTTGGGGTAGTACCAGACTGTGAAACGGGTGTCCCGGATCCCACAAAGGATGTTGGAAGTGTCATTCCAAGCCAAAGTTTGAACCATTGTCCCTTAATTTCAAGACAAAAATATGCATTTCCATGAGACACTTCAAAATGAAGTTACCCTTCTCAAACTGGAGTAAAAGGGTAATTATATTCATCATTTTTAGCTCATTTTAGTAGGGCTGGTTTTAGCCCCCTGGTTTGTAACATCTTAACGTGTTTTACATGGAATTTATATAAAAATGATCAGAATTCAGATAAAATGTACCAAAATAGTTTCTACCTCTCTCTTATGAAAGCCAAAGGACTATTTCTCATGTTTTTTTCAAGCTGAATTTCACTATTAATTAAAAAGCCAAATGTTGACTCTTGTACTAGAGAAAACTCTATTTCCCTCCCAGCATGTTCCTAAAGATGAATCTGAATTTTTTCTTACCTATTTTGACAATCTTCTGCTCTTTCCCAAACCTTTTCACTGAAGTGATGTAAAGATCTCTGTTCTTATCAATAAAAGCGATTTTTCTCTCACTCGTAAGTCCTTTCTGGTCCAAAGCAATCTCCACAATTTCGGTCTGAAAAGGCAAAAAAAAGAGGATTTCCGAGTTTTATTTTGGACATTCCTGTCCCAGAAAGCAAATGACATTCAACCAAATGGATGTTTCCTCAAAATAAGGCACAAAACTCTGGATAAACTGGGTTGTGGGAAGACACACTTTGTGTATGAAGTCTCTGTTGAATGAAGCATTTCATGGCAGGGGCTCGGATTTTGATGATTTTTAAGGTCCATCCCATGATTCTGTGATTTTATAAATTGAATTTCATGAAGATTAAAACAAAGCTGCAACCCTGGTTTGTTTATGCACCAGAAGAGTGAATGTAAGAGTCAGTTAGAGCTGAAAAGCTCCTTCATAGTAAGGTTTTAAAACCTTTAACAGACCCATTATTGAGGAAACCCACTATTGATTCTTAATTTCTAAGTATAATAAAAAACCAGACATTATATCCTTCACTTCACCTTATGGGTCAGAGGTTTTCCATCACCCAGTGGCTTTCCAGATAAAGCTTCAAAGATGTAAATAACTGAAGAAAAAAAAATACAGTTGATTAGTTAAAAGCAACAGAAATGACACCAAATTCTGAGGTAAGTTAATAAATAAATTCATGTTCCCCATATCAGATTTACTCAATCTTAACCCACAATTTTGGTCAATATGGATGTTTAGGAAGTGATACCATTGACTGATTGATTAAATTAAACCAAAGTATTTAATGTCAGATATATTAAAAGATGTCCTTAGAACTGTTGGGGAAAACATTCCTCAAAAACATTGTTTATTTTGTTAATAATCTGCTTTATTTGGAATTCCTAATGCATATTTTCTTCCAGGACAGTTCAATCTTCTGCTCATGATGCCACAGTTATGACTAATTAATATTACATATTAATTACTGGCTTCCTAAAAAAATACTTGGTTTATCCAGGTATTTTGGATTTTACTCGATATTTGAATTTTCCTTGATGCTTGAATTTTATATATATATATATCATATATGACATATATAATTCTTGCACCTTTACCACTTGTTCCACTCTCTCTCTGCCTCCCCTTTAATAAAAAAAACCCTTCAAAAAACCCCCACCTACATAATTTGGTTTCTTTGGGGTGTCCAGTGAAAACTCCAATTTGCAACTTGCCTAAAAATGAAGTTTCTTTCTCTTTCTTTCCATCTCTCTCTATACAAACACAAACCCATGTGTTCGAAACTTCTTTATAAATACATATATTTATATATATTTCTGTGTAATAAACAAATAAATTATAAATACATACAATCTGTGAACACACACACAAATTAGAGGTAGGGTGAGCACTCAAAGCAGCATTTTAAGGAAGAGCTGTAACTAAAAGCACATGATTTTACAGGCAGAATTCAAAACAAAAAAAAGGCCAAACTGTCAGAGCAGGTGTTCAAACCCATCAGTTGGTTGTGCAGAGGAGGCAAAAAAAAAAAAAAAAGGTTGAACATACAAAAGAAAACTTGTTGTTCCTGAGAAGTGCTTTCTTATCTCACTTTTAGGCTTGAAATTTGTAGATCTACCCAAGCAAGTCGATTTTACAGCCCCCAGAGCAGCTGGAGGAAGTGAGATTAAAGGAGTGTGTAAAAACCCACTGTACTAATCCACAAGTCAAATGGGTTCAATTCTCATTAACCTACAATTGAGGGATTTCAGAAATAAGTTTGGGGTTGGGTTGTTTTTTTTTTTTCCCTACCTGAAAAAACTCTACATGGTTTTTCAATCATTTAAACCCTCAAATGTATCTTTTTTCCAGGCAGAAACTAGAAATATTAATAAAGGTCGTTGTCTTCCCTTTGACCACCCAGAGAAAGAAAATTGTGTGTATTTTAACAGATGTGTTTTATTATCAGGGAATATCACTGAGCTTTTAGTGTCAAAAATACAACATTTAAGAGCATAAAAACCTTCAAGGACACAGCACTGAGATAGAACATCACATCAGCTGTAAATAAAACATATATATATATATTTATATATATATATATAAAGATACAAATCTATAAAAGAGATAAATCTACAAAGATACAAATGTAAGATAAAGCTATGAAGATACAAGTCTATTAAAACTATAGCAAAGAACATCTGAGAACTAAAATTAATCCCAGCTAAAGTACTGGAAGTTTTTTTAAGAGCAGCAGGAAAGCACAAAAAGTTGCTGAGGTTTCAGAAAAACCCCATGTGAGGGACTGAAAACCTATTTTTCTGTTATTTTCTGCAAATACTCCATGGTTCTAACCCATTACTCAACTGTGATATATATATATATAATTCTCTTTAACTTTTTAAATCAATTTTAAGCAAGACCCCTAATGTGAATTAATTTTACAGTGAATACATGAATTTAAATTTATTTTTAGAGTGAATATATTAATTTCTACAATAAATATATGATTTTTTTTTTAATAAATCCCAGAGAACTTACCCTTCTCATCAGCTTTGTCCTTTACTGCCAGGGTGTCATTGCTCAGAGACACAGTCTGGGCATTTAAAATGTCTGTTCTCATGCCTGGATATTTTGGAGAGGAAATTAATCTGCCTTCATATGAATATAAATAAAGTCCTCCACCATCTACAAGAAGAAAATGCCTACAAAAAACCAAAAGAAACAAACAGCAAAAAAAATTAAACACTAAATAATACAGAAAAACACAAAGAAATTTTCACAGTGTGAAGGTAAGTGTTTAATATCCTGCAACTGTTTCTGGTTCAACCCCATTATTTCTAAGCCTGTGGGTATTCTGGAAGTTTTGTATGGAAGAGTTAATTTTTAATGTGAATGTTATCTTTTGCCAGGAGAAATATTTATTATTTGAAATATTTATGATTTTTTCATGTGTTTTCCATTTCTAACTATATGAGAAGTATGTCAGAAATCTGTATTTTCTGTCTGCAATATTTCAATTTGTGCTTCTGTTCTATGTTTATATTTAATAGTTATATCTAATGGTTATATTATGTTCACATTTAATAAAGAGCATTGCAAGAAGTCCCAAAAAGTACCTTTCTGCTTGTAAAATCAAACTCACTGTTCCTTCCTTCAGGTCAAAGATCAGTGGGGTGTTCCAGTTCTTTGTACTGAAAAGAAAGAAAAAATCAGCATTAAACCCACTAATCTTCACGTTGCAAACACAAAGTTGGATTCACTAAGCAAATCATACATCTTTTAATGCTCTAACACTCCTAAAAAGGGGAGGTTTTCAAAATTAAAACAGCATTTAGGAAGCCAAGTAACATAGATAATCACATAATATGGGTATTTTTGCATCCTTTCACACCAGCAGCAGCTGACCCAGGAGTGTCAGCACACGGCAAAATCATATTTAGATGAAATAATCGTATTTTTAAAATATTTCTGAGCTGTTTTACAGTGATGTGGAGGTTGGACAAAGCCCCTTTTCTTGTGTGTCCCATCACAGGCTGTATGTCCAGCATTAGTCACCTCACTGAGATATTGAATATTTCAATTAATTCAAAAGAAATTAATTACAATTAATTATTGTCCCTCCAGTGAAGTGTCTGCTGCTGTTTTACAACTGTTGGATAACCCTGAGGAAGGTGGATTTGTATTTACTCACGAAAACACGTAGCACTGAAGAGAAGTTGAAACAACCAAATATCCATAAGCCAAGGAGGCTTTAATGACCCTGTCCCGGAATTCCAAGGAATCCTCGGCATCATTAATGACATTGTGCACCTACAAAGGAAAACTGAGGTGAATAAAACAACAACAGATGAAATAAAAACTAATGAGTGAAATATCATTTTTTTTTTCTTCTCGAGAAAATCATCCAGACGTTGGAAAATTCCCATTTTAAGACTGGGCTGCTGATTATTGGAACATCTGAAATATAACGTTTCAATGATCCCATCCCAACAATCCAGGATTTGGAGAAAGATGTGTTTTCTGGAAGAGCTGGAGCACGGATTTTAATGCTTCCACAGGAAATTCAGGAGACACCTCCACGAGCAGGTTGTGCCTTTGCCACCACACTAAAAATCTGCTCCAATTACAACGTTTGCCTCTAATCAACACAGATCTTTGAGTTCAAAGATTTCAGGCAGCTAAAAATCTAAGGTGGCACCTTACACAAAAAAAAAAGTGTCCTGTTTGTTTGTGGGGTTTTTTTGGAGGGGGTTTTGCTGTTGGGGTTTTTTAGATGGCACCATTCTGAGGGTGGCAACTTCCTTTTGATTCTCTCCATTACACAACCAACTGCAAAACAAGGACTGAAGTCAATTATTTCTAAAACCCTGGAAACCATTTCCAAAGACATATTAATTGCTATGGCCATAATTAATGTAGCACTCGGGAAAAAAAATGCAGCAACAACTTTTTTTTTTTGCAGGCAAAATTTTCCTCCACGAACGTATAGGAATAAAATAACTCTAAAAAGGAATAAAATCACTCTCAAAAGGAATAAAATCACTCTAAAAATGCTAAAATGAAACATTAATTCTGACTCAGGGTTGGTTTTACTTCCTCAGTGTTTGCATATTCAGATTCTCTGGAGATCATTCCCAGAGTCCATCTGTTACGAGTCGATGTCTGGGAATGAAATGAAAAAAATGGGAATTTTTACCTGCTAATTTGTCCTCTGTGTTCCCAGACACTGACTCACCACATCCCACCCACTGCACCAAACTCACCCAGCACTGCTGCTCTTCCAACTTCTTCCCAATTACAGATCCAACACGAAAAGAGTCAAGAGCAAAAAAAAGGCATTCGAGGGCCTAATTAGGAATTTAGGCACTCGACTTTGATATTGAAGATACAGGCCTGGTGTCCAACACCAAATGTGTCATTTGGAAAATCTGGAAGAATGGAAATCTTGTCTTATCCCAGTGCTCAGGGAGCGAATGTCTGAGTCACTGTCTGGGAACACAGGGGACAAATTAGGTTTAAAACTCCTATTTTGCATTAAAAAAAAGCCCGCAGAGCTCGAAACTGTAATTTTACCTTCATGGTTCTCCTCTTGATTAATGTGATCTCAAAGTTCTTCCACTCCCACCGTTGCTCCACGATGTGGGCAAAGATGACATGGCCATTCCCACAGGCTCCAGCCAGCTGGGTGCCATCAATGGACCAGGAAATGTTAAATATGCTGCCAGTGTTGGGCTTCTCCAGGGCATAAGACCACTGCAAAAAAAAAAAAAAAGATTAAAAAAAAAAAAGGGATTAAAAATATTCTGGGTATTTTTTAGGAACGATTTCTTGTCCTCAATAGATTTGCAGGGTTGGAATTTTTTAAGCAGCATCAGTAAATGAAATTTTCCTTATGAAGAGATTTGATGTCTTAAGTCAGACTGTTGAAAACCAGGGATACAAAAAGCAAAACCACCAAGTAAAGCAAAATTAAAATGTCACAATGCCTGAAGTACACGAGGTACCAGTTTTCTACTCATAATATATTTAAAGTGTACTTTCGTTTATAAATCTAAGCAATCACCACATAAAATTAAGTCAACTTACTTAGAAATAATTCTATTTACTCTCTGTTGTTACTGAAGGGAAAGATGCATCAAAAATTTCCTCCAGCAAAGAACTTTATTCTTAATTCCCCCATTTTATGCACAAGACTCCTCTGAAGTTTAGAGCCTTATTAATGAAACCTTGTCAAAAAGTAGGATTTTTCAGACCAAGACCCTTGTTTTCTATTTCCTGCAACTCAGAAATGCAGAAATCACACCAATCACCTCTAGTCTCTGAATGACAAAAAACGAAATAACCTTTCTGTGGAATTTTAGGAAGGCTTTAAACCAGGTTTTAAAACAAGAAGCAAATCTCAGCTGCTGCCTCTTCATTACTCTGTAATGGAATATTTTAAAAAACATGTAGTAATTGGAGAACTACTTGAATATCTGACTGTCTTTGAAATCTTAAGAAGCAAATCAGTAAGAAGAACCAAGTTAAATTGTAAGTAGACATTGGATTGACTTTTGGATACATGAAATTATACCAAAGGGGACACAGCTGGAAGAAAATCCTCACCTAATGTTCGTAACACGTTTTATATTCTGATTTCTTCTGCTGCATAAAATTAGCAACCTCCAAGAATCAAAACCTTCACCCAAAGCCTTCGTATGATTTACAAGGAGTGAAATCACCAAAATTACAGTAAAATAAAAGAGTTGGGACTTAAAAGCTGACTAAGAAGGAAACAAAAGGGGCTGGAATCCAAAGCCTGAGCTGTGCTGATGGTTTGTGGAATATTGTGTAGGAGTTGAGGCTCTTTTACACATGGGGTGAGGGAAAGGTGATGTCAGCTCCGACTGAAATTCCAGCTCCAAACCCCCGGGTTCAAAGCTCTGTGTTCCCTGTCTCCTGCTGACAGACACCCAGCCCATCCATGGGGATGGATCTGGGGAGAAGTGGGGATTTTTGGAGAACTGTCTCCCCAGGATGAAAACACTCCCTGGGAATTAAAGCCACAATATTCCATGGCTGACTCTCCCATGGCCAAGGAAGAAGCTCTTCCACGGTTGTAACCAACGCTCCAAGGGTTTCCCGCGACCTCCATCCGAGCCCCGTGTGCCACAGCTGCCCAAAACACTGGATGGAATTTCTTTTTCCAAACTGGGATCCTCCCAAACACACGAGGTCATTTCCCTCGGATCAGGAATCCACCCCGGAGACAGGAGGAATAAAGGGACATCAAGCCACCAACAAAGAACCAGTTGATGGCTTTGATTTGATTTAAGGAGCTCCAAAAACGTGGATTTGGAGCTACTTTTTTACATATAACAGATCCACTGAAGATAAAAAAGGGATTAAAAATATTCTGGTTATTTTTTAGGAAGGATTTCTTGTCCTCAATAGATTTGCAGGGTTGGAATTTTTTAAGCAGCATCAGTAAATGAATTTTTCATTACGAAGAGATTTGATGTCTTAAGTCAAACTGTTGAAAACCAATTCCAAATCTACTTCTTTATTCTTTTAACCATAAGCCTTTTTTTTCAGGTCATTGAATACTAAGATATTTCCAGATCATAACCTATATTTAAAAACAAAAAATAAAAATCTAAAGAGCCATTCAAAGCTTTATTTTCCAATTTTTTTCGAAGCTCCCAAGTGTAAATCCCACCACTCCAATGATTCATAGTCCCTGCAGATGTCTGGGGCATTTATCATGTATATAAAATGTTCTAATAAAAATCATTTAGCTCTCCATTTCTAAGACAGGAACAACTTCAAAATCTGAAATAGCATTTCCTAAATACACTTAATTTTTTTTTTTTTTAAATAGGTATGACTATGACTCCAGGAATGACTTCATGAAGTTGTTCCAACATTACCTGTAATATTAGATTTTGGCTTATACTTTTCCTGCCTCTGGAGCAGATGGATCTGGTCCTTTTTCCAAGATCTTTCTGTGGGAGTGGAGTGGGGAAGGAGGAAATCAGGGAATTTCAGTCATTCTTACCATCTCTCACTGTGTAAATATTTTGACCTGCTCAGTAATGTCAAGGGAAGCAGCAGAGCCACAGGAAATAGCTGACATAAATGAACTTTTTAAGCACTGCCCTCCATCCAAGTGATCCCATCCTGAAAAGCTGTGGACACCAGGAAAGCTGAATATCCATCAATCCAGCCAGCTTTGCATCTCAATAGATGGATTTTATTGGTGCTCTCTGCAGGTTTAATGATCGTTGGCATTAACAAGGCAACAAATTTCAACCTTAAATATATTCTGTTTGGTATTTTGTAGGATGTTTTATATATAAATATATATACACAGATATATATATATATATATAATTTCTGATGCTACAGGAGCAAAAGCGGTTTTTAACTGAAGAAATGAAGCTTCTAAAGTTGCTGTTAGATCTGTAATTCTCATTTTTAACACGAGAACTAAGTCACCAGGTAGAAAGAACACGAGAAAAGGCCCCTGACCCCCCCGAATTTGCTGTAATTATGCCCCAAACTGAACACACATGCTAGAGAAGAGTTAATGATATAGATATTTATTGTCCTGATGGCTCCCTGGGGAGCAATTTGCCACTACAGCCCCATTACATCAGACACAATAAAAATGTCTGTGTTGACCAGTAAAAGCCAGGTCTGGTTCTCTTCAAACTCCATCACTGGTGGGATGGGAATCATTCCTGCTTTTGCCTCCATCCCAGCAAAGCTTCCCCTTCAGTAACTATTTACAGCCAATGTCAGCAAAGAAACTCGCAGGAAAAATTCAGGATTTGAAGGTAATAAATTATCACTGGGAGCTGATAAAGCATCTGGCACCAGCTACTGGTAATTTCTATTTTAATTAATTGTAATGTTGGCTTCGTTGCTTTAAGAGTCGAGTAATAAACCAGATTTTATCCTCTCAAATAACCCCGAAAGGCTCCTCTTCAGGAATTTAAAATCCCTGACAAAGCCAGGCCAAGCTGATGGGAAGGTGAACCAGGATCTCCCGCAGGTGCCCAAAACCCCACAGCGATTTTTTCCCCCGAAAAGAGTGACGAGCACGAGAAAAAAGGGAGCAAATGGGCCCCTAAAAGTCCCAAATAAGGAAGGTTTGCTGCAACAAAAAGCTGCAGAACCACAGGAAAGCCACAGAGACAATGAGGTCAATCTGTGCTCGGGGCTGACTCACACACCAGTGGAGGGACAGGGAACTGCCTCACATTCACTGGAATTGCACACCAAGTGGAAAAATGGCAACAAGGAACCAGAAGGAAAAATAATAAAATATAATATAGGAATGAAAGTGCAGGATGTCGTTGTTCTGCCCCCCTTTTAAAGAAATTTTTATACACTCTTTGGTTTTTAATGGTTAATAATTACGATTTTTATATATATAAATTATATATATAAATACAGATTATTATATGCAAATTTTTCAAAGTAATAAATATAATAATGTTTCTAATACTTAACATTAATATATGTATTAATAATATAGTAATAAACTAGTAACTATATATATTTATTATATAATAAAATATAATACAGTAATAAAAGTGCAGGATATTGTTGTTCTACCCCCTTTTTAAAGAAATTTTTATACACTGCTTGCTTTTTTATGGTTAATCATTGCAATTTTTATGTATATATAAATTATTATATAAATATAAAATTATATACAAATACAAATTATTATATATTAATTTTTCAAAATAATAAATATAAATATAATAATGTTTATAATCTATAACATTAATATATGTATTAATAATATAGCAATAAATATACATTTATTATATAATGAAATATAATAATAAAATAAAATCTAGTAATAAAAGCGGAGGATATTGTTGTTCTACCCCCTTTCAAAAGAAATTTTTATACACTCCTTGTTTTTTATGGTTAATCATTGCAATTTTTATATATAAAAATTATATATATATAAAATGATATATATAAATACAAATTATTATATATAATTTTTTTTAAAGTAATAAATATTAATATAATAATGTTTCTAGTACATAACATTAATATATGTAATAATAACATAGTAATAAATTAGTAATAAATATATATTCATTATATAATAAAATATAATCATAAAATAATAAAATATAATATAGTAATAAAAGTGCAGGATATTGTTGTTCTACCCCGTTTAGAAGAAATTTTTATACACTTCTTGCTTTTTATTTTACACACTGCAATTTTGTATACAGATATAAATTATTATATATATAAAATTATATATAAATACAAATTGTTATATACTAATTTTTCAAAGTAAGAAATATAAATATAATAGCTTCTGATATATAACATTAATATATGTATTGATAATGTAGTAATAAATATACATTTATTATATAATAAAATATAATAATAAAATATAATACAGTAATAAAAGTGCAGGATATTGTTGTTCTACCCCCTTTTTAAAGAAATTTTTATACACTCCTTGTTTTTTATGGTTAATCATTGAAATTTTTATATATATAAATTATTATATATATATAAAATTCTATATATAAATAAAAATTATATATAATTTTTTCAAAGTAAGAAATATAAATATAATGTTTCTAATACATAACATTAATTTATGTAATAATAATATAGTAATAAATTACTAAGAAATATGTTTATTATATAATAAAATATAATAATAAAATAATGAAATATAATATAGTAATAAAAGTGCAGGATGTTGTTGTTTTACCACCTTTTTAAAGAAATTTTTATACACTCCTTGGGTTTTATGGTTAATAATTGCAATTTTTATATATATATATATATATATATATATATAAAAATTATTATATATATAAAATTATAAATATAAATACAAATTAGTGTATATAAATTTTTCAAAGTAATAAATATAATAATGTTTTTATATATATAACATTAATGTATGTATTAATAATACAGTAATAAATATACATTTATTATATAATAAAATATAATAATAAAATAAAATCTAGTAATAAAAGGGCAGGATATTGTTGTTCTACACCCTTTTAAAATAAACTTTTATACACTCCTTGTTTTTTATGGTTAATAATTGCAATTTTTTATATATATGTAAACTATATATATATAAAATTATATCTATAAATACAAATTATTATATATTAATTTTTCAAAGTAATAAATATAATAATGTTTCTAATATATAACATTAATGTATGTATTAATAATATATAATTATAATTTATAATATCAATTATTATATATAAGATTATATATAAATACAAATTATTATATATAAAATTTTCAAAGGAATAAATATAACAATGTTTCTAATATATAACTTTAATGTATGTATGAATAATATAGTAATAAATTAGTAATAAATATATATTTATTTCTCTTTGGTCTAAGGCTGGAGATTGCAGATTGCAACTTCCATCACCTGATGTCTCCTTTCTGAGCACTGGGATCACTGAGCTATAAACTGAAATAAATATGCCCTTTTGTGGGTGAGGCCAAACGATTTCAACTGCATTTTGCACTCACTGTGCAAAGATTTCTACTTAAATATGACCAAAACTGGGGCTGTGGAAAGGGCAGAAAAATATTAGAAAAAATCCTTGATAAAATCAGAAAAATATCAGCTTTCTTTTCTGCTCCACATGTGAGCCTTACAAGGGATGCTTGTGAAAAATTCCATGTCCTGGAAAGCAAAATATTATTGATATTAATCCTCTTTTAAAACTCCTCCTGCTCAGCTGCAGGTAGGAGGAAGGTGCTGGAATTCCCACCTAGTTTTTCCTGAGGGAAACACCCCCCTGTGCACGGCTATCCCGAGGGATATTTTCCTGTGTTATCCCTAAGTTTGGACAATCCCTGCCCTGGTTTGGGGCTCTTACTCACGCCAGTTTTGTCACAGAGCCGTAAGGTGTTGAAGGATCCCACAGCAAACAATTCCCCGTCCACGGCCCAGGCGATGGATGTGATGGGATATTCCTGGAGCTGGGAGCTGTACAGGAGCCGCCCGTAGCTGTCCCAAACCTGCCCAAAAAAGGGGAAATATCCACCTCAACAAGCACAGTTTAGGAGGATTTTTAGTTATTCCATTTTCCCCTCACAGGAGGGGCAGGAATAATTCAGCAAGTTATGGCAGTGGAATTAGAAAAATTCACTTCACATTAAAAGGTTGTTCCTAATCAATATTGGTTTGTTCAATGCAATAAACTTTGCTTTGTTGCCATGGTAAATGTTACATTATCCTGTATAAAATATTCCCTGTAAAATAACTACAAAGTTTATCCCATTTCCCAGGATTATGAGGAAATTTCCCAAGATTATGAGGCCCCTCTGAAAATTTCCAAGCCGGATTATTTTTTTTTTTTTTAAATCAGTAGAATACCAGGAATCAATCCACAAAATCATTTGATTTTAACACTTTAATATATGTGTTTTTTGTTTTTTTTTTTATTTGGTTTTGTTTAATTTGTTTGGTTTGGTTTCTTGTTTAATTGTGGGGTTTTTTGGTCTTCACTGTGTGTGTTCTATCACTTTGCTGACAGAACCAACACATGATACACTTAAAATGAAGTTCCCACTTAAGGGAAGAGATACAATATGTGGCTTTTTATTTTGGATACAGAAGATACCAATCAAAAAAATTACCAAGGGGTTCACCAATGTTCCTGTAATAGAAAACAGCAGCTTTATCTCCTCTAATTTCAGATGTCACTACCTTTTCCAGTATATATCATATTTCAAGCAATCACTTCTATTTTTCTACACATTTTCCTTTCAGAGTTTGTTTCCTTTGCATTTTACCCATTTTTATTCTGCTGTATTTAAAAATAAATATTGTGATTTAATGATAATACACAGAATGAGATGTATTTCTAAATAGGAGACTTCCCATTTAATTTGGAGCTTCCAGGCACTATTAAAATTTTAAAAATTCGGTCTAATAACTTCCCTGGTCATTTAGTTACAGAGTTAACCAGAACTCACCTTATATTTACAATCTTCACCTGCAGAAAGAATCAGATCATTAACTGAATTCCAGTCAGTTTTTAAAATCAGTCCATCGTGGGCTTTCCACTGAAATGGAAACAAAATAAATTAAGCACAGCCTGACTTTTATATTTAATATTCATCATTCATTGACCTTGATGATCTTGGAGGTTTTATCCAATCTCAACGATTCTGTGATTCAGCAGAAAAATAAATTTCATAAAGCCTGAAGGAGGCAGAATCAAAGCAGGAAAATCTGCACTAAACCCACATTTTAAGTGCAAATTAAAACAGCTGTTTTTCATAAAAAATTAAAAGGGAAAGGCATCTGTACCCTTATTTATGAAAATAAACACATTATTTAGTCACCTTATTGATAATACCTGCAAAACTTTAGCATTTGGCTGAAGAGGTTTAATAATCAGCTGCTTCCCTGACGTGTAAAGAACTTTTTCAGAGTCAGGTCCCCAGGCCACGGAGTACACGGGGCTTCCTGTGGGCATGGAAAACATTCCTGGTGACTTTTCCTGTCCTTTTAATGCTGTATTACATATGTGTGTGTGTGTATATATAAATATATATATAAAAATAAAAATACTGTATTATATCCACGTGTATTTCTATTTATTTATACACATATTTATATACATAAAATACCATAGCTTCCAAATATTCAAACTCTAAACTGAGACCTGCTGCTGTTGCTCCTGAATATTTCTGTATTTCACGTATTTTCTTTTAGAAAGGCATTTATATTGCTTAGAACCACAGGATTATGTAAGATTTGTTTAACTGTCAACCCTTACAGGAGACAACTCACAGAAACACACAACATATATTAAGTAAATCTGGCCCTGGCTCTTTTCCTCCTGTTGCAAATGACATAAATTCTGTCACCAGCTGTAACAGGAATTCTAAATAAACTCATTTTTTTTTGTCCTGCTTTAATGCTGATTTAACAATCAGAAGAACTTTTCTATTTAAACCAAATGTTTCCCTTTTTTATGATGGCTGACTACTTAACCACAATTTCCAGGGCTTAACAGCAGGAGCTGAGTTAACTCATTTCCTTCTGCACTTAACAAGAACTTGGTTGGGAAAACACTGCCAACACTCTGGGAAGGAAAATTCAGTGGAACAGACACACTGCAGGCAGTTGTGTTGGTGATAAACAGCTGCAGGAAGGAATATTCAGGGAGAAAAGAAGGGAGAAAGGCAGAAAAGTTGGGATTTGAAGGAGGAACATCCGGATTCTTCCCATCCCACACGAACCACAGCAGATATTTGGGTAATTCCAAGTCTGGCTGAGACTTCTGATTGTCACAGGAGTAAAATATTAATCCATGGGCAGGGACACCTTCCACCAGCCCAGGTTGCTCCAAGCCTCATCCAGCCTGGCCTTGGACACTTCCAGGGATGGGAAGTCCACAACCTCTCTGAGAAACCTCTTCTGGTGCCTTCAAGTCCTGAAGAAAGATGGTCTTAAGAAGAGCAGATGACAAGTTCAGTTTGAGAGCAGGTGGCTGGAACCACCTCAAGAACTGGGAATCTATTTGAGGCAGATGTTTGTGCTGGTAGAGCTGCCCTTCCTTTCACATGGGGGCTTCCTTACTTCACACATCCTGCTCTTCAGAGTTCTCTGGCTCTCTCCAAAGGAACACAGACACCAGGAAGGAATCCTTCCCTGGGAGGGTGGTGGGGCCCTGGCACAGGTTGCCCAGAGAAGCTGTGGCTGCTCCATCCCTGGAAGTGTCCAAGGCCAGGCTGGACGAGGTTTGGAGCAACCTGGGCTGGTGGAAGGTGTCCCTGCCCATGGATTAATGTTTTACTCCTGTGACAGTCAGAAGTCTCACCCAGACTTGGAATTACCCAAATATCTGCTGTGGCTCGTGTGGGATGGGAAGAATCCGGATGTTCCTCCTTCAAATCCCAACTTTTCTGCCTTTCTCCCTTCTTTTCTCCTTCCTGCAGCTGTTTATCACCAACACAACTGCCTGCAGTGTCTCTGCTCCATCATTCCTGTTGGAATGAGATGATCTTTAAGGTCCTTTCCAACCCCAAACATTCTGGGATTCCATGATAATCCTGTGGGTTACCAAGACACACCAAAGAGATCCATGAAAAAGAGTTACCTCATCCAAATATATCAGTGCATTGTCTCAGCTGGAATCCCAAATACAGCAGTTCAGTGTAAGAAGGAGGAACAAAAGGAATATTAGGAGAATTTAAGGATGAAGAAGTGGCTCAAGGAACAAACACAGCCATAAGAGCAACACTCCAGCAGGGGAGGCCATGGGGTCCCACCAGCTTGGATGCACAGCTGGAATGCTCCATGGAAGCACTGAAAAAGCTAAAGAAGGGGAAAATGTATGTCCATGTTTTTGTAGTGAACAAAATCCAAAGACAGAACAGGCACGTGGAGCACCATCCAAAGAGAAGAGCCTGAAAATACATTTCTAATACAAAGAGTTAAAAGAATATGTGCAATGGGAATGATAAAGGAAGTGAAAAATGAGCTCAAACATGTTATACCTCCCTTAAAAAAAAATGTCATTTCTGCAGAATCCTACCCTTATCCCACAAAGGAGTCCGTGGGATTCTCATTCTGTAAATTCAATTTAAAGGGTTTTGGAGCCTCATGGGAGCTTATCTTAAAAACACAAATACGAGATGACAGTTATTCCATGGGGACTCAACTGCACTTTTGTACTGCACCAGAAACTCAGAAATCAGTGAAAATTCCTACTCCAAGCTAGAATATAACTCCTCCTGTATAATCTTTATCGAATCTCAAATAAGCTCAATTAAGCACAAAACCCTTGAAAACGTATCAACTGAAAAATAGTGAAGATTGTGCGCTTCAGTTTGTATTTTTTTCTCAAAAATTCTAGTTCAGTTGGCTTATCTTTGTACACTGTAAGCGTGAAAAACATCACATCTGCTTGTGAACTTCCTTAAAAGAACTGAAATACACTTTACATTCACTCCTGTGGTTAAAATGCCTTCCACAGGTTGAAAGAATTTAGATAATTTGTTTCAGAAAGAGAGATAAGGGGTTGACATTTAACCCAAGCCCAGGTGCATGTGGTTTCTTCAAAAATGTCAGCAGGTCACATGGGCTCCATGTATGAAGTCTGAAAAACAAAATTTAGCTCAAGTGCCTTCACTGAAATAGCAGAAAATCCTTGGGGTGGAACTGAGGCTGCTGTCTAAAATTACTGCAATAAAACTTTTCATTTGGAGAGTTCTTTGTTAAAATAAGATTTTCTAAGACCTTACTAAATGCAGTTCAACTGTAATTTACACTTAATTTTAATTAAGTTTTTCTAGGCCTGAAGACTTGTCACCAAACCATCACTGCCAGATTCAGGGTCTGTTGTTTAAATGTATTTTAGACCAACCCAAATTAAAAAGTTCTGATAGAACTTGAAGGAAATGATCTTACCTTGCTGAGCTAAAGTGGATCTCAGCATTCCACTCTTAGACCAGATTTTCACTTGGCCATCTTCACCCACTGAAAATGAGCAGAGAAATCATCAAATTCAGTGCAACAATTAAATCTAACAAACTTCCTACCTAGGAAACACTTGAGTTAAAATTAATCCAGGTCTTCTTGCAGGTCATACCTTTTATTTAGCCCTCCAAACATGCAAATAGAAAATATATTAAAGGAAAAAGTATTTAAGATGGTGATTTTGTTACTGTGAACAAGTCCCTTCTGTGATTAAGAGCACAGATTTCCTGGTGTGCTCTCATATTTAAAATGTACAGCTCTGGCCCTGCAATTTAAGCCTCCCAAATCCAATTAATGAGGAAAAAGGTGCTCCTAGAAACTTAATGGAATTCTTCCATTCAAAGGTAATTTCCTTACCACGTTTCAGGTTTTTGGATCTGCCCAGTGTAGCTTTCAAGTGTTTAAAAAAATGCAAAATAAATGGTAACGTTAAAATCTTGTTTGTGCACACTTGATGCTGTTGAAATGCAGCCACAAAAATACTTTGAGGGATGCAGTATCAATGATTTGCTCTTCTTCAAAGTCTAGCTGTGGTATGAGAGCAGTTGATGATCTCAAAGTGGAAATAGCGATGAATTCCCACAGTCCTAAGAAGTGTCATCCAGTCTCAAAAAAACCAACCAACCAAACAACAAAATAAAGGGTTCAAAAGGCAATTTTGAAAAGGCAGTTTTGACTTTTCCTTTGGAGAATTTCCTGAGGCAAATCTGTCTTTAAAAAGAACAATATTTCTCTCCCTGTGGGACTTCAGAGGAACAAGCCAGACAGAGTTCCTTGAAGCAGCATTTTTAGAGTCAGACTTGAGTCTGGAAATGAGCAGCTCCAAAATTATCTTCAGTACTTGTGGACTGAGTTGGAATTTGTCCAGAGGAATCAGCTGTCCCAGATCAACAGGAGGCTGCAGAGAATCCTGACACCGACAGAAATCCAGCAAGGAGCTGCTCACAGGGAGTTTCATCAGTTCCCCTGATTACCAAAAAGATTTAGGACAAAAAGGGTGGAGAGATGGAAACACTGGGAGATCACTCACAGGCTGCAGGTGATAATTACACCATTCCTGATAAATAAGGAAGAAAAAGGAATATTCAAGATGCTTTGAAACTTTGTTGGCTAAAAAAACTCCCAAATGTGCAGGGATAGAAATGGACCAACTTAGCAGCCTTTTTTTGGAAAAAGGTAGAGAAAAATAAATCAAATATTCTCCTTTATGAAGTTCAGAACAGCCACAAAACCATCCAAGCACTCTGATATTAAAAACATTTACTTTCAAGTAAAAAGGGTGACATCTAATAAATAGGACCACTAAAAAAGAGGAGTTTTTAGCAGACCTTCTATTAATTAAAATAGACAATGTTAATCTAAAATAGAGTTAATTAGTGTAAAACTAACTTCTATTAAACAAGATGATAACAACCTCAGCGATAATTAAGACCAAAAAAAGTAACTTCATTTCTATTGTTGAGTTTGTGTTTCCATTTTCCCCCTTCTCACAGAATTTCAAGCAGTGTGTGAACACTGAAGACACTCAGTTTTATTCATTTAAATTCAATGCAACTACAATTTAAACTATGAAATACTGTATTAAAAAACCAGAAGGCTTGATTTTCAAAAAGAGTTCTTCTGCTATTTTAGGTTTCAAACCACTTCATTAATGTACAAGTGCTCACCTGTGACCAGTGCTGTTCCTTCATAATTCCACCTTCCTGCAAGCACAGCTCCACAATGTGCTTCCACACTTTTCTCCACTCTTCCTAACTTGGAAATCAAGTGGAACTTCCCTAAAGATATAAAAAAGAGTACATAATTTATATAAATTTATACATGTGTGTATGATTTTATATATAGAAAACAATACACACAAAATTATTAAATATAGAATTAAATTGTGTACACTAAATTATTATATCAAATTATTGATTAAATTATATAATTGTAATGATTTTACCTTCTGTCAAAAACAGACAAAACAAGAAACCAGCAAGAAGAAAAAGAATAAAACATAAAATTGTTCCCAGCTCTGATCACCCCAAACAAACGAGCTCTTGCAGAACAACCTGCAAACCAGCCCCAATGTTGTATTTATTTCCCTTCTTTATCTATAACTTCTGTTTTACCTATTTCTTTTTCTTATGTCCCTCAAAAGTTTGCAAATCCCTCTGGGGACACAAGTGCCTGATGTTCTTGCAGTGTCTGGGAGCTCCACGTGCAGCCCAGAGAGTCCTTGGGTTGGTTTTGGTGGTATTTTTTTTTTTTTAAGATCCAAAAACCATCTGAATCTACTCAATCCCAAAATACTGGAAAAGTTGGAACAATCCAACCACGGGTGAAGGAAGTATTCCTGCCTTCTGGAGCTGTGATGGAAACTCAGAGCAGCCAAAAACAAAGCTATTAATGATTTCAACAGAAGCAGGGGGAAGTGTCTCTTTCCAAATGAGGGATGTTGCTGAAATCCAGGAAGACCAAATTTAAATTAGACCAAAGAGCAGACAAAGAGGGCTTGGAAACATGTGGCAGAACAAATGCATGGCTTAAACCAGCCCAGGGATTCCAATTAACTACTCTAAAATCCAATTATTTTAATATTATTTGATTTAACCTGCCAGCCAGTGAAGCACTACATGGATGTTCCAGAGCGTCCCAGAGAGACAAAACAGAACATCCCCAAAATAACAAATAAAGTCAAACTAAATCCAAGGAAAGGCATTCTGGTGGATCTGTCACTAAATAACCATAAACAAACACCAGGGCTCTCCACAGGATCAGTCAAATCGATACAATCACACTTTGCTTTTTACTTTTAAGCACCTGAACAAAAAGGCACCAACATCCAACTAAATCTGTGGCAGAGCAAGGTTTCCAAGGAAAGGGTTTTTGACACTGATGGGAAGAGTATGGTTTGGATAAATCAGTTTATTTGATATATTTAAAATACCATAGAATTACAGGATGGTTTGGGTTGGAAGGGACCTTAATCTCATCTCATTCCACTATCCAAGGGCACCTTCCACTATCCCAGGTTGCTCCAAGTCCCGTCCAACCCGGCCTTGGACACTTCCAGGGTATTAATTTAAAGCATTCCATTACTGTATAATTAAAAATTACATCTTATCTAATTAATGTATCACTTATAGATCATCTCTCAGGTCTGAGAATCTCATTTTCCAAGTACAAGTAATAACTGGATTCAGAGGAATTCAATGGTGTTTCCTCCAATTAAATTGCAAATTTGGCCTTGAATTAATACACTAAAACATGGTTTATTTTCTGTTTACTTTCTGTACTTGTTCCATCTGTAGCCCAGACCTTTTTCATTGCAGAATAATTAAACCTCTTATCACATGAATGTTCTCATGCCATCACCTACAGTGCTCAGCAGTAAGTGGTGAGCACTTCCAAGCCATTACATTTTTAAGGATATAAAGAATTCCCTGGCATTTTATATATTGAACCAACAGCTTCCACTGACCGAGGCAGAATCCCTGGGAAATTAAAATTAAATTTAAGCAACACCTCAACACATAAAACTAAATTCAGATGGAAGAAGAGGAAGCTGGCAAGGACCTGAAGGTTTTGGTGAGGCCAAATTATCAGGAGTCTGGGATAAAATCCTCTTATACAGGGAAACATCCAACTCCTTTACCAATTTTTTGCATCTTTTCCCACTCCACAAGCTCCTGCTTCTTTCACAAGGCACTTTTCAAATAGAGAAACAGCAAATTGTAGCCTTGCAGGGAAGAATATGTTACATATAAAAGCAGGCACCAAGAATTCATCTGGAAAAAATGTGATCACCACTTAAAACTGTGTCACAACCCTCCTGCAGAACAGGGCCAGATCGAGTTTTCATGGACAGCAGCTTTACTTCTGCAGCTTCTTTACTTTTCCAACACCTGAATTTCTAAGTGATGACAGTGAAATGATTTTTGTCACTGCATTCACAGGTGGAGGTTCCTCCAAAAGCCACGTTTGTTCCCACGGATTTCTGTTCTTCAACTTGACACCAAGGGAACAGAGAGTTTCAAATCACAACTGACTGCCTTAAACACAGGAAAGGGAAAATTTTAGCCACATGCCTGCAGTAGGTAGGAGTGATTTAATCTTACTTTACAGCTCAGGTTTGTAAAGTACTGCTCCTTTATTTTTATTAAGTACTGAAGGCAGAACTGTCCTCGATCTCAAAGTGACTCTCCAGTTTTGGAGGAATTGCAAGTGGGAGATTCACACCCCATTCAAATATGGAATATCAAACATGTATGTTTTCTTCATTTCGTTTCTTAGACTCTTAAATGCTGACCCAATGTAAAACTATCAATCAAAAGTGAAAAAATAGGTCTAATCACTTACGATTTGTGCTTAATTTGCAATTTAAAGCTGAGCATATTCTTTGCTTTGGTAAAAAAACCAGCAACGAGATCAATGTAAGTAGGAAGTAAAAGAACAATGTCCCCCAAGAGAAGCATCTCAGAAGAAAACCCAAGAGGATTAAATTTACATTTGCTCTAATTTCACAAACATCTGGAGTTCAACCAGGAATTAATGCAACCCTGTAAAGACATTAGACTCCTTTTCCATGGGATTCAGCGAGTTTCCAGGAATTCTTAGCACCGAGAGGAATTAGCTGTTGCAGGAAAATTGCAGGAATAAGCTGTTGCAGGAAAATTCATGCAGGAAGAAAAATGTTGCTGTGTGCAAAATCAGTTTTTTGATTTGGAGGAGCAGGGAAAACACCCTTCCCAAGGAATCCTCAAACCTTCCTGCTCCCGAAATAACGTCCCGTGTATTTGAGTGACATAAACACAAAGTGGTGTGAAATGATAAATATTTTCAGCTGACTTACCATCAGAACTCGTCAGAACAAAGCTCTCAGCATGGGATTGCTTCTTCCCACCGATGCTCCTGGGAAACCAGTGGAGATCGATGGGATAAATCTCATCTGGAAGTTTGACCACCCGAGTTGTCTCGCTCGTTAAAGGGTTCCATTTCATGATCTGGTGATCATCACTGCAGGAGTAGAGCTCATCAGCTGTTGTCCATCCCACACAGCTCACCAATTCCTTATGTTCAGCTCAATTAAGGAATAGGAACATTTTAAGCAGCAAAAATAAGCTTTAAAAATACCCGAGCTACGCAAAACTGAAGGAACAATACAGGAAGATGATTTTCATAAGATTACATGGAATGTTTTGCATAAACACTATGAGTCTTCTTTCTTTTTTTGTTCTTTTGCGGCAAGAAAAGAGCTGACAGGAATTCACCCCAAAATAAAGCAAACTCTCATGTAAAAATATAATTACTATGATGATGCAAAGTTATTGAAACACAGCTGAAATGTTGGGTTACACCTTTAGAAGGGTCTGAGTGCACAATGCAAGGGCAAAACAGCCAACTGTCATTCAAAAGTGTTGCTTTATTATCACATAAATTATAAATTGCTATACATCCAATATATTAATAGGAAAATTCCAGTTTTGTTTATGTCTGCTACGTGCAGGTAGATAAATCACTGCTCTTATTTGCTGTCTGGGAAAGCCTTTAACTTATCACTACAAATAAGAAGGAAAACTCAAAAACTTCCTAGCAAGATATTGAGAGCTTCTGAAGTGAAGTTATTACTCAAAAAATATTTAATATCTCTTAAAATATTGTGCTTAAAGGCTGCACTGAAGGACAAGGGGAAGAAAAAAAAAAGAAACAAAAAGCCACCTGCATTTTACTGTAACTTCTATGATAAGGAAATATTTTCTGGAAAAGAGTCTATTCAGAATGAATATGGTGTTCTATGTTTTTTTCTGTGACAAAGGATATGTTTTGGTTCCTTTAAAAGAGAAGTCTTCAGTCTCATCTCAGTTGTTCAGGTGGAGCATTAAAAACCATATGTTAGAACTGTAAGACAAGAAAATAAATATATATATACGTTAGCAGCATAATATACATACATATATAAGCAGCCAAAATTAAAATGGAAGACATTAGTATTAAAATAAAAAGTTTTGAAGTAATATTACATTAGTACTGTGGGAAAACAAGCACGAAAACAGACCTTTTTCGTACAGTATCCAACTGTAAAATTATTATCTTGCTTAGTATAAGCAGAGTGGACAATTTAAAGAAAAAGTGATACTGGGAATAGAGAATCCTTGGATTGTTAAGGTTAGAAAAGACCTTTAAGATCACCAAGTCTGAAACACTATAGGTTGAAACACTGAAGTTCCCTTGTGCTGACACACAGCCGGGAGGGTGGGTAGGAGGGAAAATAACATTTTCCTTTCAAAGACAAGCCCAGAACTTTACTGTAATTTTTGAATACGGTTTAATCGCTCAGTACGTGCCCCCGGGGGGCTGAACGCCCACAGGTACATCCATCACCACCCATCCCATGGATCGCTCCATACAGCTCCCGAGGGATCCAGCAGCGGCTCCGCTGGAGGTTTAGGAGAGATGGGGCAATAACCGGGAGTTGTTCCGGCCGGGGGACGCCAAACTCCGGGACACCGCCTCCTCCCTCCGGAGCGGCTGGGAGAGGAGGAGATCGGGATCAGCGACGAGAGAGCAGAGGGAGCAAGAGCGGGAGAGAGGAGCGCGGGGAATGCCAGAGGGCAGGATAGGGGGAGAGCACGGGGAGGGAAACCAGTGGGCAGGATGGGGGCAGCGCAGGGAAGGAATGCCAGAGACCAGGATAGGGGGGCGCTGGGAATGCCAGAGAGCAGGATGGAGGGGAACGCAGGGAACGCCAAAGAGGAGGATGGGGAGAATGCAGGGAAGCAGTGCCAGAGAGCAGGATAGGGGGAATGCAAAGAAGGAAAACCAGCGGGCAGAACGCGGGAGCGCAGGGAAGGAATTCCAGAGAGCAGGATGGGGGGGAGCGCCGGGAAGGAATTCCAGAGAGCAGGATGGGGGGGGGGGGGGGGAGCGCCGGGAAGGAATTCCAGAGAGCAGGATGGGGGGGAGCAGCGCTGGGAAGGAATTCCAGAGAGCAGGATGGCGGGAGAGCGCAGGGAAGCCAAACCAGCGGGCAGGACGGAGGAGCACCGGGAAGGAAACACCAATCCCTCGGGGCAGCATCGGCCCTCACAGCCCGCTCTCCGCCCGCGCCAACACCCCGTTTCCAGCTCCCCAAGCGGCAGATTTTCCAGCCCCCCCGGGCAGTGCCGGGCTCGCGGTCCCCCCGCCCTCACTCACCTCCCTGTGCCCGGAGCTCTCCCGCCCTCGGGGGGTCCCGGCGCCCGCCCCCTCGCCCCCCTCGGGCTGACTCAGTCCTGCCGCTGACAGGGGCCGGCGGCCGCCTTTACCTGCGCGGGCAGCGGGGGGACAGCGCAGAGCGGCGGCCGGACCCGTATCCCGGGATAATCCCGCCTCTCTCCCCCGTCTCCCGTCGCCTCAGGAGCGGCGGGACCCGCTCCCCCCGCGCCCAAGCGCCGCCGTCTCTATGGCGACTTCTCGCGAGACTCCATCTTCTTCCTCCTCCTCGCCCTCCGCCACCTCACGAACAGCTCCCCACCTCCCCCCCGGAGGTGCCACGGCGCCGCCCGCTAATTAGTAAAACCCGCTTCAAAACAGCCGCGCGCCCACCGTTTTTATTCACTTTTTTTTAAAATTTTTTAATTTTTTTTTTTTTTTTTTTTTTTTTTTTTTTTTTTTTTTTTTACTTTTAGAAGTTCTTTTACAGTTGTGGGTTTTTTTTTAACCATTTTTAAACCGGCGCGCGTCGCCCGGCAACCGAGCGCCGCCCACTGACCTACTTCTAAAACTAAAGCTAAACCCTCTCCGCGCGGGGAAGGGCCGCGGGGGATCGCGTCCCCCTCGCCCCCTAAATGCCTCCCTTCGCCCTGGTTTTGCCCCCGGGCAGCCGCTCCTGGCCGGTCCCGGCGCTCCCTCCCCCGCCCGCGGTAACGAACACAAGATGGCGGGCGGGGCGGCGGTGCCGTTCAAACCCCGGGCCCGGCCCCTCCCGTCCCAGCCTGCCCCGCGCTTTTCTAACGAATTTCGGTTCGAGTTCGCCGTTTCGGCGCCATTTTCGAGTGTGGAAGCGGACGAGCTTCCACAGCAGTCGCGGCCGCCCGCGCCGCCGCCGCCTCGCCGGGGCTGGGAGCCGCCGGGACGAGCAGGTACGAGCTCGGCGGGAGGAGGCGGCGGCGGTTCGCCCTCAGGGCGGCGGGGTCGGAGGGGCTTCGTCCGCTGGGGGAGAGCGGCAGAGGAGGTGCCCTCAGGGGGGCTGGGGGTGCTGAGGGGAAGGCGTTGAGGGGGAGACAGGGATTGTTGAGGGCAAGGGTAGGGGGTGCTGAGGGGAAGGGTACGGGGTGCTGAGGAAGGTGCTGAGTGGGAGATAGGAGACGCTGAGGGGGAAGACAGGGCTGCTGGAGGGGAAAACAGACGTGCTGAGGGGGAATATGGGGTGCTGAGGAGACGGTGCTGAGAGGGCCGATAGGGGTGGTGAGGGGAAGGTGCTGAGGGAGAAAGGCTGAGAGTGCTGAGGGCAAGGGCAGGGAGTGCTGAGGGGGCGGCGGGTTCTGCCCCGCGCCGCCTTTTTCCACTTCCCCCTTGCCCTGAGGGAGGAGAAGCGGCGGCAGCGCCTCTCCCACGGCCCCGCTGAGGGTCACACCGAGGGGTCCGGGCTCGGCGGGGCCATCCCGGCTGCTGTCGGGTTTGGGGAGGGGGGTCACACGGGGGCTGCGCGGCCCGAGGGTCCCGCTGTGCCCTTGGGGACCCTCGGAGACCCGCCGAGGACGGGAACGCGTTTGAGTAGCGGAGAGACCCGATTTTAATCTACTTAGAGCAGAGACCCTTCTGCAACCAGCTCTGCTTTGATGCTTGAAGGATGAGAGAGAAATCCTAAGAAAGCCCTTAACGACTGGCCGTTTACTTAAAAGAGTTGGACTCGACGATCCTTGTGGGTCCTTTCCAACTCGGAATATTCTGGGACTTGGAAAGAGCGTGACAAGGGCGCAGTCGGGCTCCTCAGGCTTAAAAAAAGCACCGAGTTTGTCCCTGACAGGGGTTGTCGCAATCAGATTTAATCGGCTGTTAATGAGGAAGCTTTTCTGTCCGTCTCTGGCTCTTGTTTTTTCGCCGTCCCCGTAAGAAAAACGGCGCTTGGCAGGAGCCCGTGGAGAGATGCTTTTACCAAACACCTTCGAGCTGGCTCGGGGGAGGGGCTGGGCACGAATTTGTTAAATTTGTTAGAGGCTATGTGGCAGCTGATTTATCGCGATGTAAAAGCTGAGGTCAAGTAGTTCGGCTTGTTCATTCTGTTGAAGTATCTGAGGAGGGGGGGAAGGGTTGGGAAGGTAAATAGGTCTATATTGCACAATTCTGTTGGAGTGGAGCAGTTCGGGAAAAAAAAATAATAAATAAATGTGGTGCTTTGAGAGGCTGTAATTGTCTGAGACAGCCATTGCGGAACACTTCTGAACGGGGGCATAGACTCAAATTGCCCGAAAATGAGTTGTGTCTCTCATTTCCCCCCCCCTCCCCCATTGTCCCAAATGAAGGACTCTCATGAGAGTGTGGGTTGGGGGTAGGTCTGCAAACGTCAAATGATTGGCACCAATTGTAAGATGACTTTCTAACCACGTCAGTTTTTTATCTTGTGAGAAGTAAACTTTCTCATGTCTGTTTTTCTGCGAACTCACTTCGCCACTTGCTGCGATTTCAGCTCTTTTGGGGAGAGTTTCGCTCCTGCCCTCGTCTTTTCTTCTCCTCGGGTGCTTTCTATTTCTCCGTTTTGGGAGCTGTGCTGAAGTGCCAGCTGATGGCTTTTGTAATGCTCGTTCTTGCTCAGTTGACTTTAATATCACAAAGCGATGAAGGTATTTCGTTTTGCTTTCTCTGGGAAACGTTGAGTGCTGGCAGGAGTGGTTGTGTCGTGTTTTGTGAGATGAGTGTGTCGACTTAAATTGTTTAAGAGTCAAGTCTTTGCTATAATTGCGCAGGTCTTTTGTTTATCTGTGTATCTATGTATGAATATTTTGCACGGATTATTGAAAGTAAAACGAGTGTCGGGTCTGAAATGTAAAGAGTTCTTCCAGGAGAGCACAAACGTGTGGCTACTTAGTTTGTTATTCGAATGTGTCTTTAACTCTTTTGCCTCCAGCATCCCGGTGACTTTCTCTGAGCAAAGTCACAGCACAGGACATGTCCCTGCGAGTTTTCAGCAGGTAGATTCTGGCTGTTTTTACAGATTAGGCTTATCCCACTGATTTTGGGGGGTAATGTATCTGAAAGTATATCCTTACAAAGCTAATCTTGATAACTTGTTTCAAATGTGGATTTTTTTGTCTTCTAAATACCTCTAGTCCTTAGTTTCTAAGTGAGTCAAACGGCTGGGCAGACCTGTAGGTAAATTCCTTAGGGGGTTGCAGTTCAGTGCTTAGATCACGGGGTTTTCTTGTTTGTGTCAGCAAAGGAGATAGATCCCTTCAGTAGTTTGAGTGCTTGGAAGGGGAACGGCCAACAGGGATCATGGCAAGCAAGAGCACCAAGCCCTCCACAGCAGCCCGTCGGAAGGGCAGGGAGCCCTTGGAGGAGTCCTCCAGCGACATGGAAGTGGAAAACGAAGGCAACAAGCAGCTTGACAAAGGTCCTCCTCAAGGTAGGTCTGGCTGTTGGTGCTGATGTGAGGAGATGGCAGAGCCTTTTAGCAGCAATCGAATTTACCGACTGTTCCCTTTTACAAAGGAATGCTGAAAGCCTTGTTTAAACTGCTTTTAAAATTGTAAAAAGGGCTTGCAAAGAGTTAAAGGGTTTGGCCCAGTGCAAGTGCAAAAGCAATTTGTAGACTTTCTCCTCATAAAGCCTATTTCATATCCCTGATCTGGAACATTGTGCTTAAGATTGTGGTACAACAGCAGGATTTTTCAAATTTATAGGCAGCCAATGGTATGGGATTTCTTGGAATGGAATAAATGTCAAGTTTATTTACTTAACTCTTAAAATGATTTGACTTTCTTTTTCATGAAGCAGTGTATTTTCTTGAGTTCCTCGAGTTGAGTTTTTGCAGAAAATATCTGGCCAAACAGCAGCTGTGTGACATTTTAGGTAGCCAGATGTGCAGTTATTAAAGGAAGGTACTTGACAAATAGATTAATATCTTTAAATCAGTGGCAAAAACTGCTGCCTCTTTGAAGAAGGAGTTGCCGGTGCCTGTTGAAAAGCTGCCTTGCTGATATCCAGGGGGCCAGTTTGTTTTCGTAACAAACTTCCTGTCTTTGCAGAGCAGTTGTGCTGTCATTACAGCTTTCAGAGCCTCGTGCAGAGCTCCCCAAATCTTGCAGAGGGACTCGTGAGCACGCCTGAAATGTGGCTTTGCACTTATTAATTAGAAAGACTTGGCCTGTTTCGGATTTGCAGCCTTATTGTGCTGGTCGGAGCTGCTGTAATTGCAGAGTGCCTGTTAAAGTGTGTTGGAATAAGAATTACATAATGAAGGAACAAACCCCCCAGTGCATCGATGGGACATCTTAAGTATCTCTTAAAAAAGATTCAGTTGGTGGAAAGAAGGATTTTAATTCCACTTAGCTCATGTTAATAATTACAGGCCAAAGTGGAGGTTTGGTTCCTACAGAGGTGATGTTTGCTTTTTCGGTTGAACATTTGAAAAGGTGTCAAGTCATTGAGAGCTTACAGTTGGTTGTTGTTGTGTTTTTTTTTTTTTCCCTTTCTGTTCAATTCGGATGGTTTTTAGCAGTGTCAGATGAGGTGGTGGATACTCGAAGTTTAGAAGAGATTTTGGGTAGCATCCCTCCTCCCCCACCTCCAGCAATGACCAATGAACCCGGTGCTCCTCGGCTCATGATAACTCACATTGTAAACCAGAACTTCAAATCCTATGCAGGGGAGAAAACTCTGGGACCTTTTCATAAGGTATCTTTCTTTTCCCTTAAGTATTTTTTTAAATGAAGGTAAGGCTTTGCTGTTGTGTTAGTATTCCTTGCTGTATTTTCATGTGAGCTGACCTCAAAAGAACTGAAAGAAATTTAAGTTTTAGAAATACTTCTGTGGCAATAATCTAAATTTTCATTATTGGACAGTAGAGAAAACAGTTAAGTGCAACTTTCTGGTCCTGTACAATTTTAATTTGTCAGCACAGCCTAAAAAAGCACACTTTTCTCTTGATTTCGTTTGCTGCAGAACTTTTAGGGCCGTGTTTGAAGAATGAGAATATTTTTTAGTGCCCACAAGAGACTTACGTGGCTAATCATGAAACTTTCCTTGCAAACATGCTGGCGAAGTGCAGCTCCAATGCAGAGAGCTGAGCTCAGCTGAGGTGTGGGGGTTTTTATTAAGTTGTGCTGCTTTACCTTTGGCAGCAAACCCCGAGCTCTCAGCCAGTCAGCAGCTGCACGGACCTGGAAGAATTGTGTTTGAAACATTCCAAATGCACTGGGTGATGTGCACTGGGCAGGAGCTCTTTCCCTTTGAATATCACTTTTGTTTTTCTCCCTTTTCCTCGTGCA